GTTGTCTAATTAGACAAACGTATGTCACTACAGCAATGACCAGAAAGAGACAGGTGGGCATTTAGGCACAGTGATTCTTGTCAGGCCAACACAGGCAGATCTGGTAAGGAGGAAGGAAGAGATGAGAGGCTTTCAGAAAGAATGAAAGGTCCTTAGAGGACGTGTGTGCGGATGGTGTTCTTGACCACCTAAGGAAGTTCTATCAAAATTTAAGGTTTCTTAAATGTAATCCTACGGTGGCTAAAGTCTAAAGTTGTTTAATGAATGGTTCTTTCATTCTTCTTTTGGAAGATACCTTTGGTGTCAGGCAGGTAGCTTGGTCAGCAGCTTCACAGCACTCTGTCAAAACGGCCTTATACTTTTCAGCATAGTAAAGGAGTTCTGGGGCATAAAAGTAAGGATGTCTTCTGGCAACTTCATATAAATAACTAAATGAAAAAAAAACCAGTCATTTTCCTATAGTACATATTAGAGGAATGATTATAATCACCATTTCCACCAGAACCTCAGAAACCCAAACCTGTAATTTACCAGTTAAGCTCTGTTAGCACTGATGGCCTTGTCTTTGTCATTCCTCAAGACAGTGAAGAAAGTGGTGGTGCTGCTGCTGCTGGTGGTGGTGATGGTGTGTGTGTGTGTGTGTGTACATGAGCTCACATCATATAGTAATTGATTAATGTTGGTGATCTAATATTGCTGACAAAAATGAAATCAATCCTGAGAACATATTTTTTCAGAACATTTTAAAACATGTTAATCTCAAACTTTTCATATAGATCATATTCTGTTAAAATATTCTTGGTCATATTTTGGTGGAATATAATTTTGTGATATGCGATATTATCTCTTTAAAAAGTATTAAAGGGGCTGGGGATTTAGTTCAGGGGCACAGCGCCTGCCTGGCAAGGGCAATGTCATGAGTTCAATTCCTGGTACCAAAAGAAAAACAAAACAAAACAAAACAAAAAGTATTAGAAAAACAAAACTTCTGACTCACAATGTTGAATATCTCTTTGAATGTGTAATTGTTGTAATGAGTATTAACCTATTACTCTTTATTTGAAATTTTGAGATATAAAAATTTAATTACTTACTGTCCAATAAAACGTTCAATGTTTTCCTTGAAGGAGGCACACATAGCCTCAGGCTCTTTCCGCACAAAAGGAGGCAGGTTGGGGTTGTCATCTTTGTGCTTCAGGAGGCACTCGGTCCTCTCAGGTTCCTGTTTGGTACAGCAGTCCACCAGCTCTCCATAGGTCTCACGCAGAGTTGGGGTAGCACATAATTTATCTCCAAATAGAGTGTGCTGGAGGGGAAGAGAAAAGCCTGCAAATTATTGGATGGTACTTTCTTTATAGTCAAGGAGCAGCATATTTAATATTCAGCATTTTAGGACATCATACACATTGATGCATATGATGTACACGTGTGGAAACATCACATAGCACTCAATATTTACAATTCGTTTGTCTCCATCAGTTAAAAAATGTTAATACAAAAAATAATGAAATAAAAAATGTTTAAACTACAGAAAAAGGAAATCATTAAAAAATCACCCCCCC